AGTATGTATGCAATGCTCAGGTGGAGACGGGAGAGGGCAGCAAAGAGATAGAAAGCATCAGCCTCTAGGTCAATATGTATGCTATTTCCATTGCACCCCAATAATTTTGAATTGAATTGCATTGATTTTGCATTCTATTTCTATTGCACCCTAATACTTTTGCACTACCTTGCATTGATTTTGCATGTTATTTCCTTTGCACCCCTATAATTTTGCATTGACTTGCATTGATTTTGCATTCTATTTCCATTGCACCCCAATACTTTTGAATTTACTTGCATTAATTTTGCATTCTATTTGCATTGCACCCCAATACTTTTGTATTTACTTGCATTGATTTTGTATTCTATTTCCATTGCACCCCAATACTTTTGCTGTGAATTGCATTGATTTTGCATTCTATTCCATTGCACCCCAATACTTTTGCATTTACTTGCATTGATTTTGTATTCTATTTCCATTGCACCCCAATACTTTTGCTGTGACTTGCATTGATTTTGCATTTTATTTCCATTGCACCCCAATGCTTTTGCATTGACTTGCATTGCTTTTGCATGCTATTTCCATGAACCCCAATACTTTTGCATTGACTTGCATTGATTTTGCATGCTATTTCCATTGCAACCCCATACTTTTGCATTGACTTCCATTGATTTTGCATGCTATTTCCATTGCACCCCAATACTTTTGCTTTTACTTCAATTTATTTTTCATGCTATTTCCTTTGCACCCCAATACTTTTGCTGTGACTTGCATTGATTTTGCATTCTATTTCCATTGCACCCCAATACTTTTGCATTGACTTGCAATGATATTGCTTTCTATTTCGATTGAACCCCCAATACTTTTGCATTGACTTGCATTGATTTTGCATACTTTTGCATTGACTTGCATTCATTTTGCATTCTACATCCATTGCACCCCAATACTTTTGCACTGACTTGCATTGATTTTGCATTCTACTTCCATTGCACTCCAATATTTTTGCATTGACTTGCATTAATTTTGCATGCTATTTCGATTGCACAACAAAAAATTGCATTGACTTGCATTGATTTTGCGTTCTATTTCCATTGCACCCCAATTCTTTTGCTTTGACTTGCATTGATTTTGCATTCTATTTCCATTGCATCCCAATACTTTTACACTGACTTGCATTGATTTTGCATTCTATTTCCATTGCACCTCAATTTTTTTGCATTGACTTGCATTAATTTTGCATTCTATTTCCATTGCAACCCCATACTTTTGCATTGACTTCCATTGATTTTGCATGCTATTTCCATTGCACCCCAATTCTTGTGCATTGACTTGCATTGATTTTGCATTTTATTTCCATTGCACCCCAATGCTTTTGCATTCATTTGCATTGCTTTTGCATTCTATTTCCCTGAACCCCAATACTTTTGCATTGAATTGCATTGATTTTGCATGCTATTTCCATTGCACAATAAAAATTTTGCATTGACTTGCATTGATTTTGTATTCTATTTCCATTGCACCCCAATACTTTTGCATTGACTTGCAATGACATTGCATTCTATTTCGATTGCACCCTAATACTTTTGCATTGACTTGCATTGATTTTGCATGCTATTTCCATTGCAACCCCAATACTTTTGCATTGACATGCCTTAATATTTCATTCTATTACTATTGCACATCAATTTTTTGCATTCTTGCATTTGTTTTGTATGCTATTTCCTTTGCACCCCAATACTTTTGCATTGACTTGCATTGATTTTGCATTCTATTTCCATTGCACCCCAATAATTTTGCATTGACTTGGATTGATTTTGCACGCTATTACCAATGCAACCCAATACTTTTGCATTGACTTGCATTGATTTTGTATTCTATTTCCATTGCACCCCAATACTTTTGCACTGACTTGCATTGATTTTGCATTCTACTTCCATTGCACTCCAATATTTT